AAAAAAAAAAAAAAAAAAAAACCTTGTTACTCCCCACATGCCATTCCATGCCTTTTATGCCCCTGCTCTTCTGGCCCCTGCATCTGAAATGCCCTTGCCCTGTTCTCCACCCTCAAATTTTTTTTTTTTTAAGGTGGATTCTCGCTCCGTCACCCAGGCTGGAGTGCAATGGTGTGATCTCGGCTCACTGCAACCTCTGCCTCCCAGGTTCAAGCGATTCTCATGCCTCAGCCTCCCCAGTACTGGGATTACAAGTGTGTGCCACCATACCCGGCTAATTTTTTAATTAATTTATTTATTTTAGTAGAGACAGAGTTTCATCATGTTGGCCAGGCTGGTATCAAACTCCTGACCTCTTCTTTTTTCTTTCTTTCTTTCTTTTATTTTTTCTAAGATCGGGTTTCACTGTCACCTGGGCTGGAGTACGGTGATGCCATCAAGACTCACTCAGGCTCAGCCTCATAGAATCAAGGGATCCTCCCAACTCAGCCTCCAGAGTAGCTGGGACTACAGGTATGCATCACCACACCCAGCTAATTTTTGTATTTTTTGTAGAGACCAGGTTTCATCATGTTGCCCTGGCCGGTCTCAAACTCCTAACTTTGTCAAGCGACCCGCCCGCCTCGGCCTCCCAAAGTGCTGGGATTACAGGCGTAAGCAACCTTGCCTGGCAGCTTATTCACATCCCGTAGCAGGTCCAGACGTCGTCTTCTCAGAAGCCCTTCCTGTTCCAGCAAGCTAGGTCTGAGTTCTCTTTCCAGAAGCTACCCTAAGCCCCAGAGCTACCAAATTTGGAGATCTGGAGGATTTGCATATTTGTTGAAAAGGGCCTCGTCTTCCTGTCTATGTAACCAGAATACCCAGCACACTACAGAGGCTGAAGCAGAGCTACTTTTCTTTACTGGTTGTTGGGTTTGCCCTTCTCCAGACCAGCGGAGGTTAGAAGCTGAAAATCGACGGAGCTCCCCATTGTCTATGACAGAAAGACATCCAATGCCCCACCTGATCCCCCTGATTTTCACATTATTTTGTTCCCCAAAAATCCTGCATTGATAAGTGGATGGACCAAAACCAAACACAACCAAATCAAAATGCTCTTTGATTTTCCAGGGCCATAAAACCCGAAAATACCACATCTGACCAGCAGATGGTGCTCGTGAACCAATGAGGTAAAATGTTCGGTTCCTCACTGTGTGAGAATGAGTCAAATGAGGGGAAAAGCCGATAGATAGGCTTTTGGTGAATGCTTAAAACAGTATACAATTCACGTGAGTCACTAAAAATAACAGACTGTCCCTATCAGGATCCAAAACAAAGAAGGTCTAGCGGGTCTGCCGAGTCCCACCCACCTCTTCCCTAAGGGTTAGAGTTCCAGCAGCCGCCTTCCTCCCCGTTCTGGCTTGCAAGTTCAGCGCTTCCTCCGCATCTTAAACGTCCCTCCCCTTGCTCAGTAAGCCTTGGAGGAAATTTAAAGTGATTTGTATTCTGTGACTTTCAGACTGTGAATTACCAGATAACTAATTCATGAACCAGAATATTGCATAAACTTCCGGGTTTTTGATTATTCCAATTATTTTCTTTAAAGATTCTGGAATGCCTTTACCTTGAATCCGTTGTTAATGAAAAGCAAGCATTACTCTGGCACCTCAAGAAATCTAGCCCCGTGTTCAATAGCTTTTCTATGGGCAAAGGATGAGAACAGCTGGCTTTTATTATTCCTACACGGTGCTAAATGTGGCACCGTATTCAATTCTCCAACGGCTTTAGCTATGCCTCTATTTCCTCTTCCACACAATGGTGTTAACAAAAGAGACTTAGAGTGGATCTACTTGCTCAAAGTCGCAGTTACATGTTGTCAAACCCAGGCTAATTCCAGAGCTCAACCCTCACTTTCTCAGCAAGGCGTTTCCTGTCCCAAACTGAAACAGTGCAAGTCCCTTCCTCTGCTGTGTCCTCCTACCACTTTCTCACCATCTAAGGAAGAATATTTCATTTGTTTTGTTTGTTGCTGTATTCCAGCACCTACAACAGTGCCTGGCACATAGTAAGTGCTCAATAAATATTTGTTGAATATTTACTTCCATCTCTGTCAACTTGTATAATCAGATCAGTGAATCCCACTTTGGGGTGCTGACACCCCAGATTTCTGACCAAGGACAATAAAGGGCCACACAACAGACTGACAAGTAGTGATTTTGCCAAGTAGTTGCCTGCCAAGTATTATCTAGAGAGAGAGAGAGACTGCTTCTCTCTGGACACCCAGCCACTGACGCTGTGCCGCAGCTGAGTGAATACCACCATGTGTGACAGCCATTGTTAAATGGTCTACAGGCATCGTGTCTAATTCCAGCAATGTCTCTGCATGTTACAAACGAGGCTCAGAGTGTCTAATAATTTGTCCAAAGTCACCTAGCTAGGAGATGGGACCTTACTGAATGTGTGGCTGACTGCTGAGGTCCAGGGGTAGTAATAAAGGGATGTTGTGTGGTCCATAGGATTGACGAACAGATATAACCTGGACATCTTAACAGAGGGCAACATGAAGGGTAACTGGGTCCAAGGACCAGATGGGATTGCAGATCTCAGTGGATACCTGCATGGGAGACAGAGATGATGAGGGTACCCAAGCCTCGCCAGATGCCAAAGCTTTGACCAGAATCCTGGAGCACTTAGGCATCACCATTCATTTATCTATTCATTTGTTTATTTATTCAACAGGTATTCACTGAGTTCCCACTGTGTGCCAGGATTTTTTTCCAGGTGCTAAAGATATAGCAGTAAACAAAACAGACAAGAATCCCTGCTGTCAAGGAGTTTACAGTCTAGCAGAGAGAGGTCATATATGTAAGTATTGGAATAGATAAGAGAGAATGGGACAGGGCACGGAGATTTTAAGTAAATTACGTACCATTTGAATAGACTGGAAGGAGTTGACGGAGTTTGCCTGTGGTTATCTGTGGAACAGCATAGCAGGTGAAAAGAGCAATCAGGACAAACGCATGTTACTGGGTGGGGGGGGAACTGCTTGGTGAAATCATTCTCCCCTAAGACATAGCATGCCTGGTGTCTTCCAGGAATAAGACGTCGATCACCACCTGCGGAGGTCTGTCCTGCAGACCCTGACGCAATGACGGATGAATAAATGCACTCTCACACCTATTTCAGTGATTCAAGTGGGCTAGGGATGGTTGTTGGCTGCTTTCAGGGGGCAACTGCAGCCAATTGACCAAGACTCCCTCCACATACTCACATTTATTCAGTATAAATTTCACAACAGAGGTTCTAAGTTAACACGCTTGTGGGTAATTAACATGGTTAAAAGAGCTTTTATGAATGGTAAAAGCTTTAGGTTCAGGGGTCCAGAATAAACACTATTAATGGGTAATTCCCTTGACCTCCCCGTGAGAGGGCCATCCAGCACAAAGTTTACATAAGCAAACAAATTAGAGACAAAGTAATGTGGGGTAAACAGATTTAAACTGGGAAAGCCTTTTATCATCCCTATCTTTTCCCTAACATAATGGACCAGCCACCTTCGGCCTGGCCCAATAAAACCTTTCAGACTTCCAAAAGGTTTGAGACTATAATCTATAACTTTCTCTAGTATTTCCCTAATATTTTGCCAGCCATCCTGAGTGAATATCAACAAGGAACAATAAGGGACCTGGTATGGCTGGAGCAGAGAGAAGGGCAGGGAGAAGGAGTGAGAGCAAGACAGTAGGAGATGAGTCAGACAGGGACTGAGGACAGATCCCAGCAGGGCTTGCAGGCTCCTGTCAGAGCTTCAGGTTTTACTCACAGGAAAAGGAGGAGCAAGAATCTTGAAATGATCGAGTCTACCCAAAATAAACCATGATGACATTTTTTTTACTATCAGGTGGAATTGGGGTTTAAAATAGAGATTTCTGGGCAGGTATGGTGGCTCATACCTGCAATCCCAGCACTTTGAGAGGCCAAGATGGAAGGATCCCTTGAAGCCAAGAGTTCAAGGCCAGCCAAAGCAACACAGCAATATCCTATGTCTACAAAGAATTTAAAAATTAGCCAGGAGTGGTGGTATGTGCCTGTAGTCCCAGCTACTCAGGAGGCTGAGATAATTCAAGCCTGCAGTGAGCTATGATCACATCACTGCAACTCCAGCTTGGGCAACAGAGTGAGACCCTAGCTCTACAAAATAAATAAAAGTGACTCCTGAGATATGGAAAGCAAAAGCAACATTTTTGAGATGTTGAAACTGAAGCCTATGAAATTCTATCTACCACATACATAAAGGTAATATTTTACTTTTATTTTGAAAAATGGCTAGGAGGGAAGAAAATCTTTCCTCCTACAAAATCCACACATGGCTTTGATAGGCAATTCTAATAAGCTTGTTAGTCACAGTGTTCACTAAATAGCTTTTTGTTGTTGGGTTGTTTGAGTTTTTGTTTTGTTGCAATTTCATAAATTTAGCACCACTCTGGGAGGCTGGCACCAACACATGATAAAAACATTGACTTAAGTTTCTTTCCTCATGCTTTTGCAAAGTTTAATAGTTTGGAATGGATACCAAATGAGTAATTAATGGATAAGTGGGAATCTCCCTCTCTGAAGAAGAAAATGTACATGCCTGTCATTTTGTAACAAACGAACATGGATATTAATCACGGAGAAAAACATATTGCTATGTGGCTGCTTGTCTAGACCACTGGGTCTCACCACCTCTTGAGGTGGTATTGGATCACTTGAGCCCAGGAGTTCAAAACCAGCCTGGGCAACATGTGAAGCCCCATCTCTTAAAAAAAAATAAATAAATAAAACTGTTTTGTTTTTAATTAGCCAGGCATAGTGGTGTGCACCTGTGGTCCCAGCTACTCAGAAGGCTGAGGCAGGAAGAATGTTTGAGTCCAGGAGTTTGAGACTGTAGTGAACCATGATCATGCTACTGCACTCTAGCTGGGTCACAGAGTGAGACCCTCTTCCCCACCCCTCCCCGCCAAAAAAGAGTTGGTATTGAATGAATGGTGTGTGGCTGTAGTCAGACAAACTTAGTGAGAAGATGAGGAAGGCATGAAAAACCAGTAAGCAAAAATAATGGTAAAATATATTGGTCCACTATATCATTGCTGACTAAAAAAAATCGTAATTTAGTGTTTACAAAGTGGAAGTAAAATTGTATATAACACTACACAGAAAACTAGGAAGGAAACATTCAGAGAACAGTGGAAGCTTGCTGAGGTCCTTGTGTCCAAGAGAACAGACAGGCCTGGCTCTAATATATCTTTGGGACCCAAGACAAAGGAACAAAATGGAAGCCCAAATATGAAATGCATAAGTAAGTCAGGCTAACACCTTTAAATACAGTCTATCCTCCTACCTAGACAAATATATAACAACCTGGAAGACCAGATTTGAATTTCAAATGCTCGGATTCCTTAGGATTCCGTGCTGTTGGTGTGGGGAGAATCAGCCCATGGACACAACCCACTCCTCCTCCCCTGGCTTCATGCTGCACCACCAAGGGACTATGGACACTGGGCCTGGACATCAAGCCTTGTCCATAACCTCTGCAAACAGCCATTATTTGACCATCTTTCAGACCAAGAAATGAACTCATGAGATGGGGAAACAAGGCCAGAAGCCCCTGCAGCCCCTGGAGACTCAGGAGTGTCTGGGCCAGGCATTCTGGAGTACTGTGCACTGCGGGCATGGTCTAGAGAAGGGAGGCAGGTGTGAGCCAGTGAGCATGCCCCCTGGCTCCAAGGATTCTTCACCTCATGGAAAAGGTGGAGAATGTCTTCTCATCAAGGCTCAGCTGCTGGGGAGTTTAACAGAAGTAGGTAGTCAAGTCCATGGCAGCACCAGAAGGAGCCCCCACTGGTGTCATAGAGTTCTCAGAGCCTCAGGGCTGGAAGGACTCAGTCCACCTCTTCAGCTTTTCCTTGACTCTTTGGGGGCCAAGAAGATCTAACATATTCCAGCAAACCTAGACCAACAGTTCCCTTGAGGTCCAAGAATCTCCTTAGAATCCTTCACATTCATAATCTTGCCCTGGGGCTTTCCAGACCTCCAGCCAGCACCCTAAGATCCTGCTCACCTGCCAGTCCTACGCATCGAGAGATGGCTCAAGAGAGGTGGGCGGAGGCTAACATTCAGAATGGAGGGAAAGCAAAAGTAATGGTTGCCCATCATCCCAGAATGCCCTAGCCACTTTATATTTATTGAAAGCAGGGCCATGTGTTTTGACTCATGCCTTGAAGTGATGGAACCTACCCAAAATAAATCAAATAATCCCAGTGCTTTGGGAGGCTGAGGCCAAGAGTTTGAGACTTGTCTGGGCAACACAGAAAGACTCCATCTCTACAGAAAAATTAGGGGGCGTGGTGGAACATGCCTGTCATCTCAGTACTTGGGAGGCTGAGGCTAGCTGATTGCTTGAATACAGGAGTTTGAGGCTGCAGTGAGCTATGATCGCACTACTGCACTTCAAAGTCTAGGTGACAGAGTGAGACTGTGCCTCTAAAGATAGATAGATAGATAGATAGATAGATAGATAGATAGATAGATAGATAGACAGATAGACAGACAGACAGACAGATAGATAGATAGATAGATAGATAGATAGATAGATAGATAGATAGATAGATAGGCAGGCCAGCAGGTGGGCAGGCAGGGCGTGGTGGTTCATGCCTGTAATCCCAGCTCTTTGGAAAGCCAAGGTGGGAGAATCACTTGATTCTAGGAGCTCAAGATCAGCCTGGGCAACATAGGGAGACTCCATTTCTATTTTTTAAAAAGTTTTTAAAATTTTAAATAAATAAATGTAATATATATTTAACAAATACAGAGACTATAGAAATTTAAACATCTGGTCCTTCTACCCTTCTAATTGAGGTGGGAGGATTGCCTGAGCCCAGGAGTTTGAGACCAGCCTGGGTAACAAAGGGAGTCCCTGTCTCTATTTTTTTTAAAGTTCTTAAAATTTTAACTAAATAAATGCAATATATATTGATATGATTTAAAAGACACGGAGATTATAAAAATTTAAATAGCCGATCCTTCCACCCTTTCAACCCCATTCCCCTGAAATAACAAATGTTAATGATCGGGAATGTTTCAGTCCATAACTTTAAAAAAAAAATGCACAAATTCTTCATATGACCTTTTTTTTTTCATTCAAAGGGTCCATTTTTTTCTCATATCTTATTATGTGAAGTAAATGTTTTCTTTAAAATGATTTTCTTGTAGAAAAAATTTTTTGTGAATTTTTCATTATCTCTGTTGCATTTTCTTCTACTTATTCCATCTTTCATGCATCTAGCATGTTGTCTTGCATGCTACAAATGCAAATGTTTACTGAAGGAAGACATAAATAAGTATAATACATACCTGTCAATTTTTAAATACTGAGTTAGAGAATAAAGCTGATTGTGAGGCTAACGTTTAATTTTCTGAGACATAAAGCTCTGGTTTAATGAATCGATATTAATAGAATATAGTAATTGTAGTAATTCAGTACTGATTAAGAGTAACCTATTAGATATCTTTCTCTTGCAAGTGAAATCTGTTTAAATACTTCTATGTAATTACAAAGTTAAATATTCATATGAAATATCTCCAATAATAAAGGTAAATACCTTTCAAATGGTAGCGTTCCTACTTAAAAATCACAAGCAGCCGGGCGCGGTGGCTCAAGCCTGTAATCCCAGCACTTTGGGAGGCCGAGGCGGGTGGATCACGAGGTCAAGAGATCGAGACCATCCTGGTCAACACGGTGAAACCCCGTCTCTACTA